AGAGGAATCCTCCAACTGGGCCACCCGCATCAGGGCCAACCCGGGACAACGAGAAATCAAGTCCGACCATTATGTGGCTTGGCCATGTGTGACGCAAACCCAGTATAGCATCTGTTAGGAGGTGTGAGTTAGTTCAAGTGGAAGGCTCAAAAAGGGCAAGGGATAGGCCTAAAAGGATATAGTTGGAAGTAATAAGAAAATATATGGGGACTTATGGCTTCACTGAGGGTATGGCCCTTAATAAGCAAATGGCAGACCAGGATTTATGTAGTCAACCCCAATTAGTTGGGAAAAGGCTTTGACGATGATGATTGATGCTAAATAATAGAAATACATATCGAAGTACCAATTGGCAAGATGCTCGAGAGCTTGACTTGGCCAATCCTCAAGCCTTGCCAGTCAGAGCACATAGTTGGTGTTTTATTATAAACCAGTTATCATAGTGGAGCTTCCCTAAATGATGTTAGATGGATTGAAGGGATCAACCTCTCTACCGAGGTACATGCTATAAGACAAGAGGTGACAAAGAAGAATAGGATTTATTTTTGTCTTTTGATTTTTTTTCTATTCCAAAGATAAACATCCCACCCCACCTACTAGCAACAGCTTTTGCTTCATGCTTCTGTGGACCTATCTTTTGAAGAATTAAGCATTGGTTACCATAAGTTTGTATAATCAACATTATCCATGTCCCTGGAGAGCAACTCAAACACATACAGTTAAGTAAGTTTGCTACAGCTGCAATTACAAAATTTCATTGCTTCCATGATATGGGTGTCATTTTGTCGTCAGTTGGCATTTCTCATTTGTTACAGCCATTATTTCATTTCTTATTGAAGGTAAAAGAAAAAAGATAAAGTGACAAGGCATACAGATAGGTCTCCAAACATTTTATTAATTGATTTCAATAGGATAGTACAATATCTAGTAACAGAAGCACACATATTCTACATGCATCTTGCAAATTATTTATGCTCATTAAGTGAGGAATGGAACCTTGATTCATTTTATCTTGGATGTAACCAAGCTCAATATCGATTCTAATGTATGGTTGGCCTCCACATGAAATCTACAGTTTGTTGGCATTTAATATTAATTAAGGGACCATGTTCCCACCATGTTACCAGGAATTATGGTTATCATGCTTCCTGAGCTAATTCAATGCAATGAATTATCATATTTGATAGCTTGTGTTCTCTCATTAACAACTTGCTTTCCACAAAAATGCATCTTAACTAACATGGGGTTTTGACATAAATTACTTTCTTTAATACATGCCCTGATGGAAGTGTGAAAGAACAAGGGCTGTCTAAATCTTTGGTGAACATTTTAGACTTTTACTATGTCTATAACTCTATATCAATCATTTTCATTTGGGCAAGTCTTTTTTGCAGGCCATTTGGCTGATATATTAAAACTGCATTGTTTGCAGGTCCACTTAACAGTAAACATCACTTTGATAACAACATAGTTAGATTACAATTTCGAAATAATGATTTGAGTTGGGAAAGATTGTTCCTTTCTTGTTTTTCCTAGACAAGCATAGAATGAATGAGTGTTTGTGGTTTCACCATTTGGCAAAAGGCATTGAATGTGATTTTCCTCTTAGAAATTTATGTATCATCTCTCATTTAGGCTCAAGTGTTCTTTTATTAGTGGGCATGGATTAATATACCTTTTTATCCGAGAAAGATTATATATTATGACAAATTCATTTCTTCCTTTTATGTGCACTTCGAATTGTCAACCAAGTACAGCACTTGTTAGGAGGTGCGAGTTAGTTCAAGTGGAAGGACAAAAAAAGACAAGTGGTAGGCCCAAAAGGTCGTGGTTGGAAGTAGTCCAAAAAGATATGAGGACGTATGGCCTCACTGAGGATATGGCCTTTAATAGAGCAGAATGGCAGACCAGGATTCATGTAGCCGACCCCAATTAATTGAGAAAAGGTTATGATGATGATGATGATGTGCACTTGAAATTGATAGGGATATCAATCCTATAAACACTTATGCACATGTTCATTCAATTTTGCTTGTTATGTTTGAAGTGGAATTGGTCTAAGGATGAGTACCTTAAACTTTCCCTTAACACATCCCAAGCCCAAGTAAAAGCGGTGGGCTATGTTAAGTAGACAACCAATGTAATACTTCGCCAAAACTTACTATAAATCCAGAATATACAAATTCTGCTAATAGAGCAGACTGACCCCAATTAGTTGGGAAAAGGATTCGACAATGATGATGATGATGTTCAGAGATAATGGTTTTTAGGAAGCCCATGAAGCTAACCACCACCTTGAAGAACAAATCTGCTACATTTGAGGCATCAGGGTTGTTGCTGCAATGGATAAAATGCACCATCCTAGAGAATGGTCCACCACCAAAAATCGATAATCTCAGTCTCTAGCTGTGCAAGCAAGTCTGACCACAAAGTCTATACTGACATCTATCCGTGGAACAGTAGAAATAGGCAGATAAGGATACAAGCCAATGTTTTTTGTCACATTCCACATTACTCTACATATCAGCTGACATCTCTCTTAAGTATCAGCCAATAATATTTCTCCTCCCCTAGTGTAATAGTTTTATCTTGTCTGAAATGCTCACTGACACATCCACCATGGAACTCGCCACTGATCTAATGCAAAGAGATCCCTCTAGAATTCATAGCCGACTGCCTTTGAAAAGAAACCCGTCCTACAAGATATATTCCAAAGAGACATTGTCGCCTCACACACTCCTCAAATATCCTGTAAAAGTATGGTCAGTAGCATATAACTAGGTTAGGACTTCAAGCCCAACCATAAAAGTGGCAAGAGCCCCCGAGAAAATAAAATATCTTGCTTAATGCACCAACTATTTTATTAGGCTGTCCTACTATGTTGAATCACAAAGTAAAATTCCTGCAAATAAGAAGTCCATTTTGCGTGGAATTTACTCAACTTTTTTTGAGCATTCAAGAATTTCAAGGCCTCAAGATCATAAATGTAATAAACTGCCTCTAGATAAGATAATGCCTCGACTATCAAGGTGCATGTCCAATGGCATGGAGCTCCACATTGCACAACCTTGTAGTGGATTCTTGGCCACTTGCAAAAAGCGCCAACTATGATGCCAGATGATGCAAATTTTGAACAATAAATGAAAAACTAAAAAAAACTCTGATAATTTGATTGAAAATAGAAGGAAAACTAACAAGTCTAGCTTCAATGGGAACTCACTAGAATTCTTAAAGAATTATGTTCTTAAACAATAATTAAAGCTAAATAAAAAACCAAATTACAACCTTGCTTGTATACTTTATTTGGATGTGATAACACTAATTTTAATGTAATTAGAACTTCTTATTAAAATTTAAGACAAATGGGAGACTTTTGCCCTTGAAAATATAAATTATGAAGACTCGCCCTAAGAACCTGAACTGATATAACCAACTTCGTGGAGTAACTTTTTGCTTCAGTGTCAAAATCGTTTTATGATCCCATTCTAGAAATGGAATTGTAAGCCCCATGTTGCAAAAATCTGCAAAGTAGATTTTACCAGACTAAATAGCCAGAAAAATGCCTCTGAAGACCTGAATATTAGCCTTGAAGATTGTTTTGCAAAGTCGGCCGGCATCAGGTGCCACCTAGGAGCCCCTTTTACTAAAAAATTGGTCCCTCAGACCAGATGGAACTCTTTTGCTAAGATTCATAAGGATTAATGAATACGATTATGGGTCAGTTGTCAAAATTTTGGTTACTTAAAACTTGGTTTTCTTTGCATGCTTTAGGAAAGAGAGTGCTACTACTATCTACTAACTTTTGCTTGTCCCTCAGGGCATTCCAACAGTTAATTTTGGCTGGACTTGACTCGTTGTTTCATATTTTGACGGCTTTTTTCCATCTCTATTTTTCAGGAGGAATGCTCCAACAAGAGAGGCAAAGGGATCCCACGCCCTTATTTTCGTAGGCAGCTATTCATTTATCAAATTAGCCAAAGTTAAGAATGCCTTCAGGATCCTTAGCTTGACCACTCATTATGAGCTCCATTCTGATGGCAATCCTGTAACATAGCTATATGACCTTGAACTACTTAACTGAAAAAAGAAGTGCATTTTGATAAGAAAGACTCGAGCCCATAACGTTTTTCTTGTTTCCTGAACTGAAGTGTTTAGGTGAATGGAAGGTATGTTCGTGTCTCTAGATACAAGCTATTGACTTCATGTAAAATGGGGGCTGAAAGGGGCCACAACAAGTGAGCTCCATATTGCACAATGAGATAGAACCCTTGAAATATCCCTCTTCTAATCATCGGTTGGTGAAGCCCCAAACATCTTATCACTACAAGACTGGATATCAGTTTCGTGATAATGTAATAAGTAGAATGGGCATAATTCAAGAAAGACCCAATAAGATGTCAATAAACAGGTTGTGATACATCAAAGGAAGTCCAAGAAAAAGAGATTCCGCTAGCTCCATGTGAAGCCTTGATATATTAAACAGAAGTTGATTGGGCAGGTTGATCCAACAAATTAATAGCCTACTGCTACATATTCTGCTTATGATGGCAGAAACGGGAAACGGGGGTAATCTAAAAACAGGATGTGTAGTTGCCCATAAATTTCTATGTAAAACTGTGTGGAAAATCTTGTATTCTTTATATTTTTATTCCAAAGGTTGTAGACCATCTCTATACTCCCATCGCAATCAAGTATAGCATGACTCCTTGTAGCCGAATTGATTACCATGAAGCTAGTCTTTCTATTTCAGTTCCACAGTGCTACATCTGTGCTCATTTTTCACAACAGATGCCAGTATTCTTACCTTAACTCATAATATGAATGCAAAGGATACTGAAGATGAAAATATACTACTGAATCCACTATCCGAAATAGCACTATCTACTCTATCATGATAAGACATATTAGGGTTTCCAGTTGCTAATTTTATATCAATACAACATCATCATGCCACAATGGTAGACTATGAAAGGAACACCAAAATAAAAAGACTCGCATACCATTTCGCTTGTTTTCTTCCACTAACATGAATTGCACGTTGAGACCACTCAAACTGATCCCACTCACTGGCTGTCCCATCATAGTGGAACATAAGAACGGAGAAGTTCTCTGAAAACTGACAGCGGCATCAAGTCAATTAGTTATTTGAGGAAAGATATATATATATATATATCAGACTTATTACAATCTGCCTGAACTTAAGGTTATGGAATTAAATATACCTTGGATACTATATCATTGACAATGTCCATTTGACGCATACCAACCGTCAAGACCAAAAGGTACTTTGACTTCACAATGTCCTAGAAGATGCTAAGAAACATGTCAATGAACATATCATGAAATGTTACCCAAAAAATAGCAATTTCACGGTTCAAATAAACGTCAATCTACTTTTGAATTTTCATACCTCACTAGGATCTCCATATAATCTACGAAGCTCCAAATCTGATTCAGATACAACAATACCTGGTGCCAATAATTCTGCTCCGCGTGGATTTTTTGTTATGCAGATCTACAACAAAATGATTTTAGTTTGTGAATAACAAAAGGTCCAACAGTAACATAATTTGATTTCTATAGGACCATAGTAAAGTCTAATATAAATTTCATGTAAGCTCCCTTTACCATGACAAGGGCACAAATTCAAGTAAAATGGACTGCAGATGGGAATCAAGAACACTATAGTCATTGCTAATAATTAACTAATCTCAGAAATTACACATCAATCTTTAGGATTTCTATGCCATCCATCATACATCTAACTCTAATTTCTTACTAGAGATGAACATATTTAAGACATTGCTCTTCGTAAACAGAAAACAACAAAGGCAAAGAACAAGGAATCATGTTGATATGAAAGAAGGTTCAATTGAAAGAAATGATAGAAACATAAGCATAATAGATAGAGAGAGAGCATAGAGACACACACACATAGCATTACAGAGAGAGGGATTTGAAATTCTTCATAATCCATGAAAAAGTCCTAAGATACTTGGACAAGGTTAGGGTCTGTCAGGATGTACTCGTCATCACTTATAATACATTGTTTCAATAAAATTAATCCTAATAATTGAGTTATCTATTCTTTAGTAGTGTCTGTTACAAAGTTATCTAAGATAAATTTATATGCAGTTTTATATTAAGTTTGTTTTTTGAAAAGACATGTTTACTTTATTCATAGTAAAATCACATTTTTTTAGCCTGAAATAGCTGAAAATAGCTAGAAATCACCAAAACTGTAAATAACTAAATAACATTACACATAATACAAGAAAGGTACCAAACTACAAACAAAATAATATTATGGCAAAGTATATTCATTTTAGAAGCATATTCCAGATAAAATTAACTGTCATCCAAAGAAGCCCTTATGTACTAGTATGTTGATGTCAATAGTCAATCAATACGATTTGGTACCATAATTTTTCAGGCACTGTTTAATTGGGAGGACGATTCTTACCCATGAATTTCGAATACCTAAAATTTGAACCCATTTGCATTTCACATAAATCTTTGATTAAAGAATCACATATTTCTAATATGTGGTCTTTTGTACAAGAAATCATCATCATCGTCAACATCATCAGAGCCTTTTCCCAACTATTTGGGGTCGGCTACATAAATCCTAGCCCTCCATTCTACTCTATGAAGGACCATACCATCAATGAGACCATAAATTCCTATTTCTTTTCTCACTACTTCCAACTATGTTCTTTTGGGCATACCCCTTGCTCTTTTTAAGTCTGCCACTTGAACCAACTTACACCACCTAACAGGTGTTGTACTGGGTCTGCGCTGTACATGGCCAACACACCTAAGTCCATTTTATCTCATCTTATCACCTATTGGAGGCACACCTAAGTTCTCCTGAATGTGTTCATTTCAAATTCTATCTCTTCTTGAATTACCACTCATCCATCTCAACATCCTCATCTCAATTACATTCATCCTATGGGTATATTATTTCTTGGCCATCCAATATTGCGTCCCATAAAGCAAAGCTGGTCTCAAAATCATCCTATAGAACTTTCCCTTCAGCTTCATTGATATGTAGTGATCACATAAAATTCCGGTTGTACATCTCCACTTTGCCCATCCAGCTCTAATTCTATGTGTGACATCTTTCTCAATCTCTTCATTTCTCTAGAATATCGACTCAAGATATCGAAAGTGTGCTCTTTGTGGTATTTCTCAGTCATTAATCTTAACTACTTCCTTGTTTCTAATCCTATTATTACTAGACTAGAATTCCATATACTTTGTTTTAGTCCATCTAATTTTAAAACCTTTAAATTTTAGAGAATCCCCCCAAAGACACAACTTCGAGTCTCACCAATCAAAACTATGTCGTCTGCGACAACATACACCACGGTACCTCATTATGTAGGTGCCTAGTTAAGTCATTCATAGCTAAAACAAAGAGGTATGGGCTCAACGCTGACCCCTGATGTAAACATATTGCCTTTGAAAACTCATTCGTCTCTCCACTAGTTGTTCGTACACTCGATAGCGCTCCCTTATACGTATCTCTCACTAAGGCAATATAATATCTTGAGACTCCTTTATGAAACAAAGTCTTTTGTGAGACCTAATATTTTGAAAACTCATGACCTGTGGATACACCCATCGAGCCCATCTAATGAAAAACCTAGCACATCCCTAGACCTCTCTCCCCCTCTCTCTTGTTGCACAACGCTACCACACCCCACCTTGGTGGGGGCCTACACACTAACACAATCTTTCTCTCAAACTGTAAACATCCTCTAACACCCACTCCCACCCACCCCAACAAACCCACCAGCAGTGCATAAATACCCGTTCTTCCTTCTCCCCCAAGCCTCTCTCACAACTGTCTTTGTTTCACCCTCTTTCTCTCTCATATCTCCCCCCATTAAGCAGCAAAAACCCTCCTCATTTCCTCTTATTCTTCACCATTGTGGTGAGACTCTAAGAGCTTTCCTCTCTTCTTCACCAAAGCTCTGGCTTCTTCCCTTCTTCAAAACAACATCCCTTCTCTTCCAAGCTTAACACTAAAATCTCCCCCATAGAGCTTCACTTTCTAAATTCAAAGAAGCATTTTCTTTCCTGCCATCCCTCTTCTCTTACTCAGTCTTTGGAATTTTAGTTGCCTCTTTTGTGAGGCTGAAGTCTCTGTTGCTGATGAGCAAATCCATAAAGCATGCTTTGGTTCATGTTGATATTCCCGATCAACAGGTTTCCAAGCTCTCAAATCATCGAAGCAAGCTCGCTCGTTCCTCTCTGACATGTAGCAGATCAGACTACCTTTTCATCTTTCTCAGATCTCTTGTTCGTCACATTTCTCCCTCTATTTAGTATGTTGTATGATCTCTTCTATGGAGGTCACTAACCTTTGAGAGTTACTTGGTCTTGTCAACAACTGATGCAGCAGCTGGACCAGAACCATAGGTGCATACTTCTTCCTAATCCCGCAATGAGTTAGCGACATTGTTGAGAAGAGATAGTGGGCTAAAGGTTTTATGCTATTGGAGAGAGAAAAAGACCGTAGAGAGTTGCTACATCATTCACGTGAAGTTCGGGAAGCTTTTTTTTTTTTTGGGTTGGGGGTACGGGGGGTAGCTACCATCCTCAGCCATGAATGAATTCTGGCTATAGACCATAGATCAGGTTTTGCAAAAAAATTGTTTGATGACATGCCCAAAACGATTTGATGGAAACACTTACTGAACTGTGGCAATGGATGCTTAGGAAATGCTCAGAAGGAATCCACAAATTTTAAAATTGGTCCCCAAATAGGAGAAAACGGAAATACAAGTCAGGCATCTCTGATTTCCAATCATAGATTTCGAAAATCTATATATTTCTCTTTGCTCCACCAAACGGCACGTCGACCCCCTAGATATCCATAATTATCATCATCATCATCATCAGAGTCTTATGCTAATTATTTGCGGTCAGCTATACAAATCATGTTATGTCATTCTGCTCTATCCAGGGCCATATGCTCAATTAAACCATAAGTCGCCATAATTTTTCTCACTACTTCCATCCATGTCCTTTAGGGCCTTCCCTTTCCCTTGTAAATCCTTCCACTTAAACCAAATTACCCCTCCTAACTGGTTTTGTTCTTGGCTGATGCTGCAAATGACCAAACTAGCTAAGTCTATTTTTCCTCATTTTATAGCATGTTTGAGCTAACCCGCATACCCATAAATTCCCTCAAATGTATTCATTATGAATTTTATTCTTCCTTATCTTACTATTCATCCATCTCAACATCATAATCTCAACTATACTTATATGTAGATATGGTGTTTTCTTGATCGCTTAATATTCCATGCCATAAAGCATGGCTGGTCTTGCAGCTATCCTCTAGAAATTTCCGTTGAGTTTCATTGTTATATGGGACGAATCACACAAGACTCCAGAAGCATATCTCCACTTCATCCAACCAACTCTAATTCTATGAGCAAATTCTTCCTCAATCTCTCCTTTTTTATGGATTATCAACCTAAGATATTGAAAAATAATCTCTTTTAGGAACTTATTGACCATCAAACTTTGCTAATTTCTCATTTCTACTCATATTAGTACAAAACTTACAATCCATATATTTTGTCTTAGTCTGCCTATTTTTAAAACCTTTAAATTCTAAATCATTCCTTTAAAGTTCTAACTTTTCTTTTACGCCATCTCTAGTCTCATCAAGCAAAACTATGTAATCCGCAAACAACACACCATATACCACGAGACCTCATCGTGTGATTCCTAGTTAACTAATCCATAACTAAAGCAAAGAGATATGAGCACAATGCTGAACCCTACCTACTGTCACTGGAAACTCACTTGTCTCTCCACTAGTTGTCTTGACATTTGTTAGTGCCTCTTGTACATATGCCAAACCATGTCAATATACTCTCTTGAAACTTCTTTTTTTATCCAAAACCCACCAAATTATCTATCAAGGTACCAATCTTATGATTTGTCTAAATCAATAAAGACCAACGTCTCACTCTTCGGCTCGCATGCTCTACTTGCCCGAATGACTTGAACTTATCAGAGAATAGACTGTATTTTCTCTTTTTTCTAAACTTCTAAATCAATTACCTAAGTAGGAAATACCCTCAATGATTTACCTCCCTGTCAAAAATCTGAAGTGATTTCCGATACACTTGTCTCATGTCTTAGTCGTTACTCAATCACTCTTTCCTACAGTCTCATAGTGTAGCTCATAAGTCGGATCCCTCGATAGTTCGTACAACTCTGTATGTCTCTTTCGTTCTTGTAAATAGGTACCACAGTACTTTTTCTCTATTTATCTGGTATTTTCGTTCTCTCAAAATCTTGTTAAACAACTTGGTCAACTAGAATATATCAATCTCTCATCATGCATTTCCAACCACTATTAGTATACTATCTAGTCCTAAAGCTTTTCCTATCTTTATCATTCTCAAAACTTCTTTCACTTCAGATATCTTGATCATATGAAAGTAACAACAACCTTCGACCTCATTTATGTCAATGGTTCGGCCA